TCTTGAGAGAAATGAAGTGGATGAACTCGGCACAAAAAGTTACAGATGGGCTCACGAAACCAGGAGAAAACATGTGGAAGAAAGCAGCACAGATGGCAATCCTTACATTGGCAATACAAGATGCAGAGGAAACAGGTGTTGAAGCAATTGATACAAATCAGACAGCATCGGGAAACACTGAACTGATGACTTCAGAATTGTGTTGACATTGTTGGTGATTTTCTTGTTTTCACTTACGCCAGGAAAATATAATCAATCAGACGTCTTTGGAGAGAACCTTCCTATTTTTTCTTCAGGCCGGAAGGGACTCTATCCTGCCGGAAATGATTTTTTGGCACCGAAAGGAATGGCATCATCACAGATCAATTTCCTCAAAGTAGTTGAGATTCTGATTCAGAGATTGATGAAGTTGAAGTACGACAGCCCGGACAGCCGAGAATGCCTGGAACAGTGCGGCCAAATGCCTTCGACCTACAACTACTACCGCAGGAAAAGGTTCAGGAACTCACCATCCAGCTCTCACAGCTAGCCAATCAGGGAGATCTCATCAAACGTTTCTCCGCTCTCAAGCCCATGAATCGAAATCAGATCCCGGACGACTCCCAGGTGACGATACACGGCGCCTCGATAAGCGTCGACCCATTTGTTCGAGCTTTTCAACACCGTGAGCGGAAACGGGATCTGCCAGTTGATTCTGCTGCGCTTAAGACCAACAGGCCTGCAAAAGTCCTCGCTTGCTATCGCAATCGCCCACCGTGTGAGACGCTGATACGCCAACTGCTTCGCACCAAGCTTTACAATTCATCCAATGCCTGCTACATCAATGCAGCATTGTTGGGGCAGTTTTGGGCCACTTTGGCCTATGAGGGCTTTGATCCTGAGCTAACCAGCAGGATGCAGCAGAATTTTTGGGTTGGCTTCGAGGACAACACCTCCATAGCCATGTTTAGGGACAGGAGTCCAATGGCTGGCAAATACGCCTGGCCCACTCCACCTTGGGAAGCTCTCGAAAGGAAGATTCAAAGCTCGAAAGCTCTCGATGGCGGGGACCTTCTTTGGTTTGTATGGTTGAGCCAAAACCTATGAACGAATCCGAGAAGTTGCGACCTCATGTTTGCTGGTTAGCTCATGGTGCCTCTCTCGTTCGTGTCGCTCCTAAACACATTCGTGCAGAGAACGGTTGGCACGGTTAGAGAACATGCCAGAGACAGCTCAATCCACACCGGTTCAAACCCAAATTCTTGAAACCTTACGTCCTGTTCGCGGTCCCGTTAGGTTTTTGGATTTGTCTTCTCAGCAATCTCCTTCCCTTGGGGGTACCTCTTTTGCGAATGCAGCGAGTCAGGGTGCATCCATCGTTTCGGCCTCGGATAACACTGCAACCGATGCCCCGGCATCGGGAAACACTGCAACCGATGCCGGACAAGATGCACCAGCTAAATTGGCAAGTGTTGCTGAGAAGAGTGCAGGTGAAACCCGAGTTGATGCCGAGATGCAAGAGCCAGAAATTCCAAAAGAAGAAAAAGGAGAAGATGCCAGACCACAGAGAGAAAGAAATTCACCCGCCAGAGATGAGAAAGCCAGTCATTCCATGAATCCAAGCTGACGGACAAAGAGCGACAAAAGTTCAGCGAGGCGAAGGACAAGGCACTCCGTGTTTGGCTGGAGAACAAGGCTTGGAAGGCTGTTCCTGAGACGGAGGCCAAGGACGGCGAGGTCATTCCAGCAAGATTTCTGCAGAGATGGAAACCTACGAAAGAAGGAAAAGTGGCGAATGCCAGAGTCATCATCCAAAGATTCCGTCACAAAGATGTTCTCAATGAAGAGCTGGATCGTGAGTCGCCGACTTTGAGTAGAACAGGTCGCATGTTGATCCTGCAGTGGGCTTGTCAATTGGGATGGAAAGTCTTTGCAGCAGATGTGAAAAATGCGTTCATGCAGTCCAAGTCCATCGATGAGGAGACCCGCATCTATATCAGACCCACTGCTGAGATGAGGAAACGATTGAGACTCATGGATCTCAAACCATGGGAGCTTCTCAAGGGCACCAAACCGGCCTTCGGTGACGTGAGGGCACCAAGGCAGTGGTATGAGTCAGCAAAAGATTTCCTGATCAATGAGGCCCAGTTCCTTCAGCATCCATTGGACAACTGTGTTTTCCTGAGCGTGAGGATTGCATGCCGAGGAAATCATGATTTCTAAGTGTTCGAATACCAAGGCAAGCAATACATTGTTGATGGGATTCTTGGTTTGCATGTTGATGATTTCCTTGGTTGTGGTGACGGAGTGCATGCAATGGAGGATGTAACCGGAATCCGTAAGGAGACAGAAGCGCAGAGGACAACACATTGTTTCAAGAGCAGGTTGCAGAGCTTGGCACAAAAGTTCAGGTTCGGCAGTTGGGACTTTGGTCGCAATTCCAAGATCCTGTTTTGTGGAACATCATTGGAGCAAAGCATTGGGTATGACAGCTTGACATTGAGCCTGAAAGAATATGTGCAGAAGATCAAGCCAATTACCTTGGACAAGGAGAGGAAGACCATGAGCGACGCACCATTGGAACCCAAAGAAACGAAGATGCTGAGAGCACTCATTGGCGCGTTGGCTTGGCCGGCAGGACAATGCCTACCTCAGTTGTCCGCTTCAATTTCATTGTTGCAAGTATCGTCGAGCAATCCAACAGTTGGTGATATTGTGCAAGCAAACAAGTTGTTGAGATTTGCAAAAGACGTTGTTCAAGGCTACAACACCATCTTCGCACAGAGGATGAGATGAATGCAGGGAAGCCTTTTCCTTTGACCATCATCAACCGCATGTGCAGGTCTTCATTGTCGGCGGAAGCACAGTCAGCAGCAAGTGCAATTGATGAAGTTGAATGGACCAAGATTTTCGCTGCTGGGATGGTCTGTCCCTACATCTCCATTGCCGATGAGAGCGTGCTCCAGATGTTCGGCCCAACTCCTGCTTTGACAGATGCAAAGTCTCTTTTCGATTCTGCAAGGTCAGTGTCTGCAGGTCTGAGGCTTACAGAGAAGAGAACAGAAATAGAAGTCGCAATTGTGAAGGAAAGGTTGGCTGCAATGCTTGGAGAAATGAAGTGGGTGAACTCGGCACAACAAGTTGCAGATGGGCTCACGAAACCAGGAGCCAAAGACAGTTTCTCGCATGTTCTCAGGCGAGGAGTTCACTCATTGAGGTTTGATCCAAACTTCATTGCAGCCAAGAAGGTCACAAGAGAAGAGAAAGAAAGTGAAGAGAAAGAACACGATGAAGCCGCCAAGATGCTTTTCCATGGTGAGCTGTTGATGACCGAGGAGATTGCGGCTGGAGTATGCCAGAAACCAGGTTGTGGGAAGTCGCTTGATGCTTCACAGCAGCACCACCGGTATTGCAATCGAAGGCATTTTTACAAGCACTTCAACCAGCGCAAACTTGGTAAAGACATGTGAAAGAAAGCAGCACAGATGGCAATCCTTACATTGGCAACACAAGGTGCAGAGGAAGCAGGTGTTGAAGCAGCTGATACAAATCAGACAGCATCGGGAAACACTGCAACTGATGACTTCAGAGTTGTGTTGACAGTGTTGGTGATTTTCTTGTTTTCATTCATTGGCATGCAGAACGTTGCCTACAAAGCATACAGGTGGTTTTTGAGCATTGTGCAAATTCTTTTCCCCCAGCCAGTGATGGAGAATGAGAACACGATGGAAGAAAATGAGGTGAATAACAACGATGAAGTTCCAGAGATTGACTCGGATCCTAGCCATGGCACCATTGCAGAGATGGAAACTGCACAGAACAACCAGGTGAATGATGATGATGCCGGAAGCTCTTCCGTGAACGATGATCCAGAAGTGTCACCAGAAGAGTGGGATCGCTGGTATCAAATCAAAGAAAGTGTTGAGAACGAAAGAGGACAAAGGAAATGGAAGAAAATTCTGAATAAAGTGGTCCTCAACTACCAGCACCCCATGATCGACAGCGCGATGAGAGGAGTAATAATTGAGGAGAACTGGACAAATACACGCTACAAGTCTTACAAGAAATTGTTGGACATTGAGGACACCTCCGGTTGCACTTCGGACCAGATTCGCCTCTGGAATCGTCATTGCAATGAAAGGATGCTCTTCATAATTGAGGTGAGTGCAAAGGTGAAGAAACAGAAAGAACAAATTGAGTTGTTGGAACGCACCCTGGCCAGAAAAGAAAGGCTTGAGCAGTTGGAAGGCATGGAGCGCTTTCGACAAAGAGTGAGTGATTGGGAAGTCAAAGATAAGGTGTGCCAGACACCGTTCACTTTCAGTTCGGCGCGCAATAAGTTGGTTGCTCTACCTAACCATGCTCATGGCTCATACGAGTTTCAAAGCGATTTTTACAACAGGTGAAAAGAGCAATGGCGTCAAGGCCAAATTTTGTATTTTTTCCAAAAGGAATTTTACATGGTCGAGATGGGCTCGAACGAAAAAGCTTTCCTCCTGTATCAATTCCTGCATATCGCATACATGTGTTTAAGTGATTTTCGTCCGACCGATATATCTCGGATCAATACAGGGCCCTTGACGCCACCCCGTGCTACGACATATGGAAAACAGGTGATTCGATTTCGTGTGAACTTAGACGAGACTTCGTGGGCTTGTGGACAACCAAGTTGATAACTCGAGTACGCCTTGGCTAGAGACTTTGTGCTATCACCTGCCACTTCGGAGCATAGACGACAATATATTAATGGACGACATGTCATTTGTAGACCTCCTATACACATATCAAGCCCATCTCAAGCGCCCTCGCACGGAGCCAAAGTCATCTCACCAGCAATGTACAAAGTCGGGTCGCAGATACTTCCCTTTGCGACGCACACGACAACCGTCGCATATGTGAATCACATGATAGAAGCCATGTCGACAAATTCTGAAGGTCTTGGAAGTCGAATCAGAATATTTGTAACACGATTCTGTACAGACATGTCGAAGCAGCGAAGGCATCAACGAATGTAAGTCTTGCTAAAATGCAGTCCGCCAAGCATCCGCATCCAATTCCGGCACATGCGGATCACACAGCAATGACCGCAAACGATACTTTGGAGTGGACGCCACCGACAGCTGGTTGATGGGTGTTGCAAATATGCTCTGCTTACCTGTTGTTGTTGCTTCCACTTGGAACTTGGGTCGCCGCCAGTCTTCCTCAGAAATCCACAGCAGATACTCTTCTTGTTCAGGTGTTTTCTCTTTGAATTGTTCCAGCAGTTCCTTATCCGAGCCACCATCACCCCTGAAGAGATCACGCGCCACCTCCGTGATCTTGACAGGTGCATCCAAAATATCACTTCCAACACAACGTGGAGCCGCTTGCACAGAAGCATGCGAAATGGATTCAAAACTTGTCACCGCCAATTGCATGAATTCTTTCAAGCGTTGTCGCAGTTCGTGCTGCTTGGTGCGCAAGATTTCCGTCAGTTGACTCAAGACCTCCAGGTGACCACAAACCAACCACACCAAGATGTGGGGATGTAAAGACCCACGACCCTGAGCTTCGATTTCGCCACGAAATGCAAGAACCGGCCCAACCATGCCATGCCGCAGCGACACCGTCGCTGCACCACTCCCGGCACGCAGCCCTGACAGAGTTGCGGCGGCAATCCAGGGTCTCTGGCCGCACATTCAAGACGTGCTGTAAAAATAACCTCATCAACATTTCAAATTGCACGACTTGCCCGACTGGATCCTGGGCCACACGCCGAAGCATATCTTGGTATTTTGGCAAAGTCGACGCCATGTCAGCACTGACCGCTCCAAGGTCAATCTGTTCTCCTTGCACGATCAAAAGCAAGGGGTGCTGAATGTCGGCAACGTTTGGAGTGACGAAAATCATCGGCGGACCGAAGGTTTCCATGTAGGCACATCCTTCATGACGGCAGAACTGACGATGGCCGTCTGTGCCCGTTCATGGCATGCAGGGCATCCTTGACCTCTCGAGGTATGCCCGGGGTGGTGTGCAACTGCTGCAACGACGCACCCGCATCTTTGCTCACTCTCGCTGCCTGCGCCAACTTTTCAGCAGACAATCCTCGTAGAGTCTTAGCAAACACCATGCCACCATTCTTCAAGAAATTGTAGGTTGCCGCATGTTGGTCCGTCAAGCGGGACACTGTGGCTATCATGTGCAAGGCCATCCAATCGCCACTAAAACGATTTTGCACAGGACTCTCGTGAACATCATCACTCAAACTGTATTCCAATTCCTCCCGCAAAAGCAAACATGCAGCCCACTCCCGGGTGGCCAAAGGTACCTCTCGATCAGGATACAAGTTCGCAGCATCACCATATCGCCACAAGCGTGGCCGGGACATGGTCCAAATTTTCCAATCCAAAAGACTGAGTGGTTTCTTGCCTCGAGCCACCACCAAATGTCCAGGTCCACTGCGATCTACCTGGCCGGATCGCTCCCTGCTCGCCATCGTCACGTCGACTTCGGCTCCCACACCGCTTGCCGTCGTCACGTCGACTTCAGCCAAGCTGGGCTCTCCATTACTGTTGGTCTCACTTTTTAGAAGCCACCTGGACCGGCCCTCCACAATATCACGAAGTTCTTCTTCCAATTTGGTCCTCATGCCTGCGTGGGACACCTTTTCACACGACTCATGAATTTCATTGCAAAATTCTAAAATGCGCTTTCGACCAGCCTGATCCACCCACTGCGATCCTTCATCCTCAACCAAGGCTTCCATTTCAAGAGCGACAGATCGTGCGCCCGCTGCTTCTAGCTCTTCCAGTTTTTGTAAAAGCACCACAATGCGATTGGACAGGTCCAATCGTTTGCTATTGAAATCAGAGACTTCAGACTCCATCGCAAAAAGCACGGGATCTTCATCCGGTGTCGTGCGTTGTTTTGTGGCATTCGCCGGACCTTCTTGACGCATCACTCCAGGACCTCCTTCTCCGACTGGAACTGTCAACACACAATCCAAAATGGGCTGCGGGACTTGTTGATCCACCCACTCAGTCAACAGGTCTCGGTTGATCTCAGTCACGCCCTCAGCATACACTGGGTTCGTGTCTCGCAAACAGTTGGCTTGATCCACAAACAATGCTTTGTCAAGCTGAAACTGAGCAATCCTACGAACTGCAACTTGCCCCTCTTGCTGGTCTTGTGCTTCTTGCAACTGAGTACAAAACGTCACAGCCAAAGCATCATTGAATTGTTTGGGCGGCAGGCTTTGGATGGCGTTGGTTGCATCGCCATTGTGAAAAACAATTGCTGAACCAACCAAACCCGTCTGGCGAAACACATGATCCCATTGGTGATCGTTCTGGGATCCTTGGGTCTGCTGTTGGCCAGACCGCAAGACCACTTTGGTGGCCACAGTTCGCGCCAAAGCCAAACAGCAATGGATCAATGCGGCCCAACCACATATCGTTGGCCAAAGCGAATCTGTACAAACTTGGCTTCTTTCCGCTGAATGCAGCGTCACAGTCGGAACAAATGCCGACTAAAGCCTCACCACAAACAGCTGCCTCCGAAACACGGCGTTTGTGCAACAGCACCAACTTTGGTTTATTCTTGGTGCCCATATTCACTGCAGGCGCTTTCAATTCCTGTCCAACGCACAGTCGCTATCACAGCTCTGAGGAGTAATCACAATTATAATAACCTATCACCACGAAAGCCATCCATTATTCGTATCACAGATGGATCGTCACGTCGACTCTCCCTTGCAGGTCACAATAGATGCTAGTATTACAAATGGCTCGTCACGTCGACTCGCCAGTACCTGTCATACTACATAATGAACGTTAACTGCTATATTTTTCTCAAAAAAATATCCAAAGCATATCCAAAGCAAAAGCACAACAAACGATATGACCGCAAACAATCTCAAACACTATGACAGCAAAAGGTACAGAGCACGGTATTCAAATGATCGTTTTGCAATTCCGGTTTCCATCATGAAGACCACATACATCTTGCATCTGATCGCGCCTCCAAAGGGATCAAAGGCCATCTCCCATGATATCGAGCAACGCCAATGAGTTCCCAAACTGCATCCGGATTCTGCATGAAACATTGATCCCCTTGCAAAAATACATCTTTCAAATCTTCCATCCAAAATGATCGAGCACAGAAAACACAGGCACATCGACGTCGAAGAACATGTTCCAAACAAGCTTCTGGTTGCGACACAGCTTCAACCAGAGACCTTTCCCAATCCATGGCTCCCAGTCGCAAAAAGGTGGCATAGTTGCTCACATAGTGCCTCACCTGTCATCAACATGAGTACATAAGAACATGTCCCAGCATCGGAAACCATGTGCTTTACACAGGAACATCAAACAATTTCAAGCACAGTAAAACACACAACTCTCACCTCCTGAGCAGTAACCACATGAGGGCATAGAGATTCCAGGAACCAACAAGCATTTCGATAGTGTTGGAAACCACCATGCACGGCATCAACGTGAGCAATAAAAGCATCACGATATTCGAAGCCTTCCTGACACAACAAGCAAGGCTACGCAGCCACAACCGTTGGTTCATGTAGCCATTCACGCAGGTCCTCTT